GGAGACCTCACCATCAACATGGAAGCTTTTTGTTAAGACTTTCTGCATTAATTGAACATTTATTTAAAGTGTGAAAGTTTTAGGAGTTAGATTCGATATCCCTTGATTTGGACTGATTGCCTTACTGGCAGCAAATGACCTGCGATTCTGCCTTCTGGGCCCCTGTCCCTTGAATACGTGACTACCTGTCACTTGCCCCACATTTTATCTGACAACTCTATGTTCACATAAATAATTCAGTGTGAGAATAGTGTTTTCAGGTGCCTGCATCTCCTCCAGGGCAGGCTGGAAAGCCATTTTCAGAAGGTTTTATTAGTATTCGGCGACTGACTCAGTATTTCACATTACTGGTTTTGTAAGATAGAAAAAAAAAGCCTAAAGGTTTCTTTTTCATTTCAAAATTGGCTGTTTTCATCTAAGTAATGATAAGCCATCTTTTCTGAAAGGTTATCTCAGCAGGCACATGGATTTCAGATGTGTACACACACACACACACACACACACACACACACAAACACACACACACACACACACACACACACGCACATGGCTGTCTTCTGTTGATGTAATTGATTGAAATGCAGAATGCGATGGTCGGGGGATAAAAATAGGAAGACAATCAGTGAAACTGGGCATGAAATGTGCCAGGCACAAAGAGAGCGCTCTCTCTCTCTCTCTCTCTCCTCTCTCTCTCTCTCTCTCTCTCTCTCTCTCTCTCTCTCTCTCTCTCTCTCTCTCTTTCTCTCTCTCTCTCTCCCCTCCTTTCTCCTCTCCCTCCATCCTTCTTCCATATTCCCTCTTCTTCTCCTTCTTTTCCCCTCCCTTCTCCCTCTCCCCTTCTCTCTTTCTAGGCTAGGACATTTACATGTCATTAGTAAGTCACTGAAATGGAAATCTTGTGCCACTGGGGAACAAGTGAGAATTAAAAATAGAATTAACCCTTTCTACAAATGGAGGTGGTTCCCGAGAGGAATCGGCAATGTGCCTGGTGAGCGAAGCAGATTGGGCTTCAGTAGGACATGTTCCTGGAGAGTTTCTGGGCCTTTGAACTTGTGAAATGTCAGCTCTCCATTGTTCCTAAATACGCATACAGCTTAGTGCCATGGTGATGGGCCACAGTGGGGACTGGAAATCAAGCTCAGAAGAAGATGCTAAGGGCATTGCCCATGGGTCCTGTGTATATTTAGATGTACATGTATGTATGCATTTATTGTATATTTGTGTACATGTCTATATACCTGTATTCATGTCTGCATACATACACATACACACACATACCTATTAGGTCTCTGCAACTGGAGATAGGGTAGTTGACTGGGATTAGCAGAAGTGAAATTAATATGATGGAATCAGGACTGGAATCTTAAGGTGCTTTTCCTTCTATGAAATGCTTTGGTGTTTGAGGTAAAACACGGGACATGAAGGTTTATGTATTAATTAATTTGCATATTTGCATTTTTTATATATATTATGAGAAAGGTAGGAAAATTCACTCAAATATCTTTCTTATTTTTGTTGAGTGGGACTGATTAGCATTGTCAATACTTCTTCACTGAAATGTGTGGCCCGAAAAGGAACATGGGACCCAGAATTTTATGACCTTGGCCAAATCACATGACTTTTCTGTGCCTCAGTTTCCATGACTTTCAAATAATTTTCAGAAAGATTTATGTCAGAAATATTTATATACTGTTTTAAAGTTTTTCAAATGCTTTACATATATTATCTTGTTTAGTTGAGATAAAAGAAAGTTGGCTCAAAGGCTCACCAAGGATCCTTCCATATTTAAAAGGCCATGAAACTATGGTGCTTCATTTAACTTTATGCTTAAAAGCAAGCTTCTTGGAATAGGGCAAGCTTACTGGAATTTTCAAAATGGCAAATTCTCATGGACTTCTGGCTCCTTGCTTAGCTTTATACTTGGGATTTTTAGGGGCTCCATGTGCAGAACTCTGGAATTTTTCATTGCAGTGAAAGAGACAAATAGTCATAGCTTGCATCCTCACTCAGTATGGTGCTTTAAGGCTGACAAAGCACTTTACATACATCATTGTTTACATTGTAAACCTAGATGTTCACATACATTATCTTACTTAATTGTAATAAACCTAATTTTTCACAAAAGTTTAATGAAGTTGACAAGGTGCAGTCCAGACCTGTGAGCTAAGCTCTCCAGACTATGTTACCTCCATTATCAAGATGAGGAAACAGGAGGAGAGCAGTCAGTCAGTTGAGTGACTTTTTCGATTGTCAACATGGTTTGAATTGAATCTAGATCTTCTTCGGCCCAAGACCAGTCCTCTTCCTAGATCACCATGCTTTCCCCTAGCGTTTTCTTTAGGGTGTCTTCTGTCTTCTACCCCTTTGGTCGTGTTTGGTTTGTCAGTTTTGAACAGAGGCAAGCATGTTCATGGAGTCTTTATTTCAGAACCTAACCTAAAGGAAAGTCCAGTTCCACTCTGGTCCCAGGAGCTCTGTGCTTTGTTTTTTTTTTCCTGGAATAAAAAAGAAACTTCCTTATCTGCCACAAAGTTTCCTTTCCATGTCTTCAGGGTTTCCTTCACTAACTGCATAGAAATCTGGGCTCCCAAGGAAAACTCACTCCACATATAAAGGATAAAGAAAGTTTTGCTTGGCAAGAAATAGTTCCTGGTTAAAAAAAAGTTTGGGGAAGGGCGTGTTTCTAGGCAACCACAAGACCAGTATTTCTTAACAGTGTAACATTAAAAAGCCAAGAAAGGTAAGGTGAATCCCAGGCCACATGGAGAAAAGTCGAGTGTTTAAATGGCAGAGACAGTAGTCCTGAAATTGGCGGCTTGCCTCAGAACACAAGTAGCATGTGGTATTCAGGTCTTGGTGCCCCATTTTAGGAACAACATGGGACAAAGGAAAGCATATTCAGAAGAGGATGGTGAAAGGACTGAGGGGGTCAGTTAAAGGCACTGGGAAAGTATAGTTTGGACAAAGTTTAGGGGAGTTCTGAGGAAGGAGGCAGTATTCTTGGTGGGGGCTTAGGAAGGCTTCATAGAAGAGATGGCATTGACCAAAGGTCTTGAGGGACAGTTACATTCTATTGGAGGACTTCCAGTTCCTAGGCCCAGAGTCTTTGGTCCTTAGATCCTTAAAACAACCAACCAAACAAACAAAAACTCCAAATCGAGTACTAACTCATTCTCTAGACTTCCGGTCAAAACTGCTGCCCTTGAAAGGATCTGGATCCTAATTCAGTTGGTATTTCCTGACCAGGCAGGCAGGTGGTACAGTGGATAGAGTGCCAGCCCTGGAGTCAGGAAGACTCTTTGTGAGTTCAGATATGGCCATAGACGCTTACTAGTTGTGTGACTTAATTTTTCAGACAGTTATTTAAAATAAATTAAGATTCAGGGGCAGCTAGGTGGCACAATGATAGAACACCGACCCTGGAGTCAGGAGGACCTGAGTTCAAATCCAGCCTCAGACACATAACACAAAATAGCCGTGTGAGTCTGGGCAAGTCACTTAACCCCAATTTCCTCACATGAAAAAAAAATAAAGATTCACAAAACACTTTACATGCAGTATCACATTTGATATTCCCAACAAACCCCTGTGAGGTAGGTGTATTTTTATTCCTATTTTATACATGAGGAAATGGAAATTGAAAGAGCTTAACTGCCTTGTACAGCATCCCCCAGCCTGCATCAGAGGTAGGATTTGAATTCGCATCTTGCTGATCCTAATTCTTGCACTCTATGTGCCCAAATATTATTTTGCCCTTTTAATAACTAAACCACTAGATGTTTCCAAGATCTCCCTCATGCCCAGAAAGAAAATTGCAGCCTGTGCATTCAAGGAGTTGTTGTGATCTCCATGTGACATCCAGCCCCTTTGGAGGGTCAACTGATTATACACTGATTGTGAAAAAATAGCCATTTGGTAGGAAGCCTTGTTTAATGAGGACTGTTATGGGCAGAGCTCCATCCCCACCCACCCACTCCCATCCCTTCCAAGGGGCGCAGGCTTGGAACTACTGACTTCACAACCCTCCAGCGGACAAATTCTCACATAAATCGTCTTCCCTACGAGGTGTCTGCTTCTGCCCATACAGGCGTCTTTCTAGTCCCACGGATCAGCCAGAAGTCTTTAAAATCACATAGACCTCCAATCTGGACTGTTACTGGGTTTCACCTTTGAGAAAATTAAGACCAAGGGACAATGTCATGTCATAAATCTTGCCAGGACTATTCCCTCACTGGAGTGATTAATCTACCCATTAGTAACCCCAGCATCTGCTGGTAGATAATCCAAGAGGAAAACATAGACACATAGAGGGTTAGAGGGCATGGGTCCCAATTTAAGCTCTGCCATTTATTCGCTCTGTATACACGTACATATGCGTGCATATGCATATGCATGTGGTTTTCCATGCATTTGTTTGTATACATGTGTCTATACTTTATAGCAGATAACATGGATGCATAGGTATTTCCATGTATAAATCATTCCATATGCTTGTATATAATTTGCATGTGTGTATGAAACATGCATGCATGCATGGGCTATTCCTGTGACTTTGCTGCTGGAGAGAATTCCTAGACCAGCCCCTCTTCTTTAGTGTATAGTCCTAGAGATGATACATGCATATACATGTATAGAAATCCATATATACATACTATAAACATATGTGTCTGTATGCCCATATATCTGTATACATCAGGATATCTGTAATTCTTTTTTTCAGATTTTGCAGTTGGGTCAAGAAATGAGGACATAGTAACAGATGTTGTTATTGTTATCATTATTATTGTTATTTTAGAAAGTAAAGAAAAATGGTTCCTGTATTGACCTATTTCATTCTTTCAGTTATGCCTGTTAAGTCACTGTTTTAGGACATTAGGTCCAGCACATAAAGATGAGGTTAAGAATAGAGAATGCAGGAACTGATTAGCTTTTAAAAAATTAAAGCAGTTGGAGCTCTATTTTAAAATTTTTTATCGATTTTTTTTTGTCTCAATCCCCAGCCTCAGAGCCCAACTTGAAGGTGCGATCCCGATTAAAACAGAAAGTGACAGAGAGGAGAAGCAGTCCCTTACTCAGGCGGAAGGATGGAAATGTTGTCACTTCATTCAAGAAGCGAGTGTTTGAGGTGACAGGTAATTGAGGCCGGGACAGACACCCTCGGAGGCAGAAGCATGCCTGCTGCCTCTAGCATCTGAAAGTTGTCCTAAGGGGCGCCATCATTTCTGAGAAAAGCCTGTAATGAAAACGCACTAAAGCTGGGTCTTTTTTTGCCAACGAGGTGAAACAGGAAATGAATGACCAGATGAACTCTGTGTTGGTCAGGTCTAAGGCAGGCAGGCCAAAGCTCATCTTAATCTCTGCATAGTCAGGCAATGGAATTTGGAAATTCCAGTCAACTTTTTTTTTTTAAATGAAATTGGGCCAGGGAGGAGCATAAGAAAGTCTAGAAAACTCCCCCGTCTCCACCTCTCCCTACTATACTTGAATGTGCATCTGGGAAATGCACCTCTCAGTGGAGGATCCAGACTTGGTTTCTTCCATACGTTAACTCAATTCCTTATGACTTTCTGTGTTTACTGGGAATTGGGATGAGGGAAAGGAGAGGGCAATTTCTTAACTCTCACAGAGGGGAAAACAATTGCCATTTTCCCCAGCCTCAGATGGATTTATTCTCACAGATTTAGCCTTTTTTTCCCCCTTGGCTTAAGGGGAACCACATAGGGAAAACAGCCTGATATCTTCCAGAGCCACTCCGGGCTGGTCAGATATAGTCTGAAATCAGAGAACATGTAGGCATTCCTGGTGAAAGGTGGATGGACAACACAAGCACTGGAGAGCCCTTAGTGTTCCTGGAACTATGAAGAGCCAAGGTAGTTCTATTTGGGTCAAATCTCATTTTACTTTGTAAACCTCAATCCCACCCCCACTTCTGGGTTGTGTCTTTAGTTCTCTGTTGGGCCCATCCCCTTTGCTTTGTGAGCGCCGCATCTTGCTTGTTTCTCCAGCTTTGGGAGGCTGGTCTCCATTGCCCTTAGAAGACTGCTCAGGGTTCTCCAAGTTAAGACTTTGTCATTGACCCCTTTGGCATTCTGATGAAGCCTAAGACCCCATCTCCAATGTGCATTTTTAAATGTGTAAAATAGCATAATAGGATACCAAGGAAGTCAATTATATTGGAATAGAGTTTCCAAAACTTAAGAAGAACAAAACCAAACAAATTCATTAACCCCCGGTTAAGAGCTCCTGCTCTAAGTTGACCAGGTGGTGGGCACCTGATCTAGTAGTAGAGAGGACATAATTAGTGAGGTATATTTTGAGGTAAAACTATTGGGGAAAAAAAGTCAAAGGAAAAGAAACCTCATGTACTTAGGGCTACAAAGGACCTTCAAGGCCATCTTGTCAAAACCCTCATTTTACCAATGAGGAAACTAAGTCCCAATGAGGTTAAGAGACTTGCCCAGGGTCTCACAGTGGCAGATATTTTTAAAACATGGAATTTGATTTTGATTATAGTAAAACATCCATTTCAGACCCGCGGTGTGGGTCAGGAATTCTAAATTAGTCACCTTTCTGAATGATAGGGTATTTTAGATGAAATCTGACTATGTCACTCTTAAGCATGTGCTAGGGCTTTACTCCACTCACTCTGGGCCACTAGTAGGCATCCTTAGTGCTGCCTTCAGGAATGAAAAAGCATGCTCTGAAATCCATGTCCCAACTGTTAAAGGGTGATTTAAAGATTTTCTAAAACTGTTTTTTCTTCTAAATCTCTAAAGTAGGGTCACCATCCCCTGGGAATTGCTATGCTTCTCACTTTGTTTAACAGACTTCTTGCATGATGATACCAAGGCAGGATGTAGCCCAGCCCCCTCTGATTTATCTCTGGAGAGGACCTAGTAAACAGTAAATTTATGAGGGTCAGACTAAAAGGTGTCCTCTCTGGGGTCTGCCACAGTGACTCTAGAGTCTCTAGAATATTAGAGCTAGGTGGGCCATTAGGGTCATAGGAATCAAGATCCAAAGATGGAAAACACTTTAGAGGCCATCTTGTCTATCCTCTCTTTTTACAGATGAGGGAAACTGAGGCCCGGAGCATGAGTTTATATAAGAAGAGCCAGAGTTGGAGTTTGACAACACTTTCTCTGACTCTAAATCTCAGACTTTCCATCCAGCCTAACATTTTCCCTATTTTAATCTGTGGTCCTCATTGCAGATTCCCCATGCTGTTTTAAGGTTAGCACCACCATGGGACCATTAAGACCCATATGGGAGGGGAGAGTGTTGGGGAACAATTTCTAGCTAGCATTCTAAAACTTCTACCATGGCTCCTGGACTGGCTTTCCTGTTTCCTGGGTCTGCATTTGTATCATGGTTGCTTTGTGAGGTGATTAAATATTGTTGTAGACAGGATGCTGTACTATGACATGAGAAGACCTGAATGCACAACTTGACTGAGATACTTACTAGTAGTATATATGACCCTAAGTAAGTCACTTAACCTCTCTCAGCTTCATTTACCTCATATATAAAATGGGAGAAATAATAGCCCTTGGTTATTTTAGGGCTGAAATGGTATCTGTAAAGTTCTTTGCAAACCTTAAAACATTATTTAAATACTAGCAGTTTCTTCTGTTGAAGTAACATGGACTTCACTTTCTGTAAACCTCACATTGATAACTTATTTTAGCTCTTGGTAAGGAGGCATTGAGTTCTCCACATTGTGAACCAGGATGCCAATATTGTGCTTCTAAAACAAGATCTTGCTGAAAGTTAAGAAAAATTAATTAATTTGGTATATACTGAAAAATAATGGCACAAAACCATACCTCCTATTAGGGGGAGATTTTTGCTAAAAGTTGCTAAAATAGAGAAATAATTTTGTCCTGCATAGTAAAGAGGACCTGGGAACATGGAGAGTTTAGGATGCCAAAGAAACACAGGAAGTTGGCTAAACTGCCCACAGAAGATTCTACTGGATGTGCCGTGGGCACCTCCAACCCAATATGTCAGGAAGGAAACTCGTTCTCTTTCTTCCCAAATCCAGCCCTCCTCTAAACTCCCCTGTTTATCTCAGCAGCATTACCTTTTCATCTCAACCTATACTTAACCAGCACTAAAATATCTTGAGAATTCCCATATACAAAATGGAAGACAAAAGAGGCTTGAATATGAACCTGAGAATCTCTGTTCCTTTAAGTTTGCTTTAAAAAAAAATATACATGCACACACGCACACACGCACGCACGCACACACACACACACAACACACACCACACACACACACACTCTCTCTCTCATATTTGTGTCTAATGGCCAACATTAGGCTCTGGGGTGGGGAGGGGGCAAGGAAAAATGAGGAAAAAATAAGAAATTTACGTGGTAACTGAATTATATATTTAAAAAAAGAATAGCAAGTGGTAAATAATAGATTTGAAGCTTCATGCACAATCATGTTTTTTTTATTATACTATGTTATAGAAATGTTTGTTTTATTCCATAAATTAAAAATGAAATATTTTTAAAAACATGCAATCAATTCACCACATTACTTTAGAAGCTTTACTACTTTAGAAGTAATCCTGCTTCAAAACTTCCTCCTTCTTCCTTGTTACATTAAAAAATATTATATATTATTCTGTATCATATCATATCATATCATATCTATCATATCATATCATATCATATTATATAATATACATAGATAGTGATCCTCCTCCACGTTCCCTCTCCTTCTCTTTCCCGAAATTCAAATTTAAAAATACATTATAAAAAACATACGTATTCAAGTTAGATGCATCCCTGCACGATGTCTTTCTTCACCTTGAGTTCCTCACCTCCCAGGAGGGGGGAGCATGTTTCAGGGGCCGTCAGTCCTTCCTTCACTCAAGTTTATGACTTTGGAATTATCCTTGGCCCTTTCCTCTCCCTCAGTCCCCAGGCTTAGGCATTTGCCAATTCCTACTTATTGTACTTGGACAGAATTTTATTTTTTCCTCTATCTCTTCTCCATGCACACAGTTCAGGCCCTCCTCACTGCTTCCTTGGATTCTGGCCTTCTGCGTGGTCTCTCAGCGTCTAGCCTTTTCCCTCTCTGATCCATCCTCCTTGCCACGTTTGGATGCCTAAAACACGGCTCTGACCGTGACACTCTACTTACTGCTCCATGTTCTGTGATGACCTCCTCTCGTCTCTAGGATAGATCCCTAGGTAGGGGTATTTTAGAACAAGGGAAGTGGGAGAAGGAGGGAGACTTGAGGCTCGGCGTTGCAGTTACGTCTCTATTTCTCAGAGGTTTGGGAGGGGCTGAGAGGCAGCTGAGGTGAAGTGGCAGCTCTGGATTTTGAGATGCGGAGTTAGAAGACCTGGGTATTTATTAAGCACCTACTGCATGCCACACACTATGGCGTATGCTGGGATAAAAGGGCAAGGAATAAAACAGCTCCAACTCATAAAGAGCTCACACCTCATTGGAGAGGGATGGCGACCAGTCAACAAATACATATTAAAGGGGGTGGGGTAGTACATGCCTACAAAGTAAAGACAGTATAAATGTGAAGTCAGCAAAAGATCAAATGTGATCACGTACGTAAGATGATTGGAAAACCTTAAAGTGCCATCTAAGCACTAGCTGTGACAAAAGTGATAATAATAACTGTAATTATAGCATTAATAATAATTGTAATTGTTATTTGGGGGATATTTATAGACTACCTCTGCTTTCACCATTAGCTCCTCTTTAGAACAGCACAGTACATATTGCCAGGCTGTGTTTGCAAAGTGCATTATTTTCCTGGGCTTCATTTCACGTAGATTTACACATCCGTGTAAATGTAATAAACTCTATTTTAGGTTTTATTGCTTTGGGCCAAAGACTGTTGGGGGATTGACAGAGCCCAGAGCAGCTTCTCAGAGTTGGGTGATTGGGTTAGTGAGTTTCTGAGCTGGAGAATACTGACGGTTTCAGGGGAGCATGTGAATATAGAGTTTTCTCTGAGATTGGGGATAAAGAATAAGATCCATGAGGTAGAATGATCTATTGTGCTGATTTTAATCATCCTCTTTCCTCTGGGGCAAAAATGGATTGAATATGTTCTTACCATTGAATGGAAGGCTTTAAATACAGAGCCAGTAGTTAGAATCATCGAGGGGGCACGGTGGAGCAGAGGATAGAGAGCTGGGCCTGGATTCAGGAAGTCCTGAGATCAAATTCTGCCTTCAGATACTACTTATGTAACTCTGGGCAAGTCATTAACCTCTGTTTGCCTCAGTTTCCTCAAGTGAAATGAAGGTATTATACTCAGTAGCCTTCAAGGCCACTTCTACCTCTGAGTATGATCCCATAAAGATTTCCATCGGCGAAGGAGTAAACTGAACTCTTCCACACCCAAGACAACAGATAGTGAGATTAGATGTCAAGCAATGAATTGGGAGCGTATCTGTACAGGAATGAGATATGACAGGAGGAGGCAAAAATAAGAATTAACATGGTTTTTATGGACTAGAAAAGATAGAAAGGTTTCCTCGGTTTAAAAAAAATGGAGATCATTGGAGAAGACAAAAAAAGAAAGATAAATTAGAAGTTTTTTTTTAAATTTTTACTGTAAAGAGAAGAGGTAGGCAGCATGAAGAATTTTTTTGTCATTTTATTTTGAAATATTCATTTATACAAATATTTCATTGTGTTTTCCTGAAAAAAATATTTGTTAGTCTAGAAGTTAAATAGAGAGTAGTGATTAGGTATAATGGGAATGGTTCACTGGAGAAGGAAATGGCAAACCCCTCCAGTATATTTGCCAAGAAAACTCCATGGCATGCCTTGGTCCACAAGCTCCCAAAGAGTCGGACACAACCGAATGACAAACAGTGAATGAACAGCAGCAGTGGGAAGGAGAGTGGATTGAAGTAGGTTTGTTTGATGCTTCTTAGGTTGTCTTTCTTGGGATTGAGGGTGACTTGGAAAAGTTCTTGTGTTGTGAGTAACTTTATTGCTCCCTTGCAAAGTCCTTTTCATTTATTAAGAAGAGAGCTGATCTAATAGTTTATCATCGTTGGCTTCTCCAGACATTTACTGAGCTGGCCTAGGCTTCATAGCCCCTTGGCTTCTGAGGTCCAACTAATCGTTTTGCTAGAAGCTACGATCATTGGCCTACTTCTTTTTTCGACATGAACTGAAATGAATCGATTTAAAGTCTGAGATCTGGTTAGGGGCAGACCACGAGCGGTAACTTCTAAAATGACCCCACTAGATTTGAGATAAAGTTGAGAAAGAAAACATCTACACCATTGAAAAGTAAGGATTGGTGAAAGAAGCAGCCTGGATGTTGGACTCATGGAGACCTGGGTTCAAGTCCTATTTCTGACACATCCTGGCTGTGAGGCAGTCATACATTAAACATCTTGGGCCAGTCACCTTGCCTCTCCTAGGCTCTCTTCATCACCCTGGACAGCTAGGGCTGACCTCTATCGATAGAAGGAGTTTCCACACTAGGAAGTGCTCACACTGATGGAATCACAGGTCCAAAACAATTGATTGGCATAATTGACAAACACACACACACATGCACACATGCACACAAAGATGCTGACATTTATTCCTCAATCCATGAGTTCAACTGAATCTTTCATGATGAGTTAAAATCAGTCCATTGTGGAAAAGTGGAAGTGACTGCCACGAACAGTAGTGCTCTTCCCCTCATTCCACCAATTCAGCTCTAGCAAAGGCCAGATCATGTGCCCTTGTCGGGCATTATATGGAAGGGGTTGTTTTTCAGCTCTGGGCTGGTTGAAATGGTGACACAGGCATTTTCAAAGTGTAATTCTGTGACTTTATCAGAGAACAAGTGGGACAGCCCGAGAGTTCATCTCGTAGCCTCCGAAGCCCTTCTGATATTGGTGAGGGAGCCTTTTCTCCACTCCTCCCCTCCCCCAGTTCCCCAATAATGTAGTTAATGTTTGACGCCAGGAGGTTTCTGGAGCCACAGAAAGGTTCTGATGGGCTCATGAGGCTGTCAGTTCCTCCTCTGACAAAGATGGCTGTAGAATGGGCCTTTGCACCTTTGGGGAATCCCTGATGAAGAAGAGGGAGTCGCAGAAGCCTCTGACACTAGAATCGCCAGCATAGGCATAATGGTGGGCCCCATGGATTGATGCAGTGTTTTCATGACCTTTACCAGGGTTCTGTCTCCATCATTTTTATCTCTTGCACCAACAGGAGAAAGTAAAGCAAAAGAACCATCTTTCCTTTGGTCACATCAAGCTCTTTGAGCAGAGATTTGCCCAGGCCACTTATCTTTTCTTGGATTGCCTTGACACTCATTTTGGGGTTATCACCCTCCATCAGGGAAGTGGTGTGTTGGTGTAATTGACAGACAGTGCAGTCCAATGGAAAGAATGTTGTACTGGGGCCCCACAGGGCACTGTGTTCAAATCCTGACTCTACCACTCACTGTCTGTATGACCTAGAGCAATCCATTTCACTTTAGTGGAATTAAATGACATCCAAAGACTTTTACAACCTTAAAGCTGTGAACCAAAGCCCTTATGAAAATGAGAGTCATCTTCAGAGGCAACATGGCCAGCAGTGACCCTAGGCACTGAGTTCAGACAAGTGATAGTTTACGCCCCAATGTAGGCCCATTCTTTGCTCCTGAGTGACTTCACTCTTCCTTCTGGTTTTCAGAGTCCTCGGTCAGCAGCAGCTCTCCTGGATCTGGCCCCAGCTCACCTAGCAATGGACCTGCCACCAGTATGGCAGACAGCAGCGAGACATTGCTTGTATCACCTGCTCCGCACCCAGAGGTAAGCTTGCTCTGCCAGGTGTGAATTGGCTCAAAACCAACATTGTCTCTCTTATTGCTGCACCTACCTTTGCTGAGGAAGGTTTTCAAAGGATTAAGTTGAATTCAGCAATCATCCGAGTGTGCCGGTTCCAGGTTCCAGGCACTGTGCTGGATGCTGGAAAGCCAGAGACAAAAGAGAAATGGTTCCTGCCCTCGAGGAGCCGACATTCTACTGGCCAACACGTACACAGCAACGTTCATGTAGAAGAATTTCAAGACGAGCATTCTAGCGGCTTGGGGGAGGGAAATCAGAAGAAGCCTTGGGCAGGGGATGACAACTGAGCTATGTTTTTAAGGATCCAGAAGTGAATTCAGAGTGCATTGCATACCCAGGGACAGCCTGGGCAAAGACAGAGAGGCAGGAGACAGACCATGCCAGATGGTGATAAGTAGCAAGTGGAATGGAGGACGATTGGGAGCTCAGCACCACTGAGCTGAAAGAGGTGGTTTTTACTGACCACTCTGGTGACAGGATCATCCTCTGGCGGGTCACCGTCCTTCTGGTGGTAGCACTGGCTCAAATGGCCTGGTCTGCAGGAAGCATTTCCTGATCCTGCTAAATGCTAGGGCCTCCCCTCTGCTGATCAGCTCCAGACTGTCCTGTATTTAATTTTATATGTACATAGTTGTTTTCTTGTTAGCCTCTCCATTAGAAGGTAAGCTCCCTGGGGGAAGGGGCTGTCTCTAGCCTTTGTTTCCTCAAAGCTTAGCACAGTGCCTGCCACTATTAGGCACTTAATAAATGCTTAGTGATTGACTGATTCAGTTAGGCTTGGCCTTGAATGAGATGATGTTAGGACCCACTATCGTATCCTTTTAAGACTCCAGGCTCACCTCTAGGTCATGACAAATAAAGCTTTGGAGAACTATTTAGTGAAGATTCCCATTCCTTATCCAAAGAAAGTGTATTCACAGAATATTTTTTAGTTCAGTCATTTCAGTTGTGTCTGACTCTTCATGACCTCATAGCCCCTCACCTCATCACTGTGAGGAGAGAACCTGTGTCATGCCTGTCCCTTAGTACCAAGATGAGCCAAGAGGCCCACAGTTTGTTTATTGTTTGTAAAACTAATATTTCCATGAAATCCCTGGGTCATGTTGAAAATGAGAACATAGGAAAAGAATCATTAGTCGATGGGGAATGTGGAATCTGAGGAGTAGAATTGTAGGAATTGAAAGAATGAGAGGAAACAGTTAGTAAATGGCATATTGGACAGAAATGGTCTGGAAAATGGCCGACATTGACTAGATGAGTCCTTTCCATTGATAAACAGTTGTTTCCTTGATATTGGGTGGGCTAGCACTGGTGCTGTGTAGGGATCCCTCAGTATGAGGCAATACACACAGTGTTGATGGGACATTGTTGAATGGGAAACAGAATTTCTCATTAACTCATCTAGAAGTTCCTTCATAAGAGGAAGTGTGGAGTAGTGTATGGACGGTCAGCCTCAGAGGCAGGAAGACGTGGGCTCTCCAATACGTATCAACTGTGTGACTTCAGACAAGTCATAGAACTAATCCACAGGCAGCCCTTGAAAAATACAAGTAGCAAAGCTAGGGACGATGTGTATTTGTGAAGTCCCCTAAACCAATGGAATCTCACGTCTGGTCTATCTATGAACTGCAGTCCATTCCTATCTCCAAAAGTAATCCTTCAGACTCATCTTTATGTTTGCTTGTTGGTTTTCCCAGCAGTTATATAGTGTAGTAGAAAGAACATTAGGCTCTGAGAATGGGGCCCAAGCTTACCAGAAAGTCACTGTATGATTGAATCTCTCGGGGTTCTTTAGTAGCCTAATCTACACAATGGAGGTATGGGACTAGATCTGTTCCACTTCTCTCATTAAATGACTAAGATGCGAATAGGTTAGTTCTTCTTAGAGGTTTGACATATTTTCGAAAGAGAAAAAAAAGGGTGAAGGACCATCTTTAACATTACGGTGACTGGCCTTTAAGTAGGGAACAGCCCTGCCCCCATCCCCTGCCTCTGATTTGAAAGATGAGGAATGGTACAGAGGAGGTTAAAGGGCTGGCGGAGATCTTTTACAGGGTTGTAATGGCTGGGGAAGGGAGGAAGAAAAACAGCTCTGATTCACCCCGAGAGAGACAAGGTTTCTCTCTCATGCAACCTCTTGTGATTTTAATATAGCTCAGGGCTAATGGCATCAGGAAAGAGGTCATTAGGTTGTAGGAGAAGGGGCAAAACCCAAAGAGAATGTTAGTGATCTCAGATATAAATTTGAGAAGTGTTCCAAATTGGCCAAAAAAGGGAAAAAAATTAAACTTGCCCAAATGCCAAAGGCATTAGGTCCTTGCTGTCTTTACCTCATGCAGTGATGGAGTCTCTGGTCTACGAGGGACCTTGGAGACATTCTCATCAAAGCCCCTTATTTTAAAGATGAGGAAACTGAGACCCAGAGGTGTTTCCCTTGCTATGATAACAATAACAATGCTACCAACAATACTGTCTGGAGTGTGAACCATAGTGTGCCCTTACTCCACATTCCTGAAGGTTCACAGTTTCCTCTGAGGATCACTCCAGGACTGGAACAAAGCTGGGGAGGGATCTTAACCTTTCTGTTGTAGATGAGAAAACTAGGCATTAGAACTCACTTTTCTGAGACCCCAAAATTAGCTCATTTTATAATCAAGCCTGGAACCTGGGTTTCTTGAGTCCTAATCTAGTTGCCTGTTTGACTCTGCCTGGCAACCTGTTAATTTAAATATCAATGTCTTTGTGCCTTAGACTGAAAAGTAATAAGGGAAAGCTAGGTGGTATGGTGGATAGTGCCCTGGACCTGGAATCAGGAAGACCTGAGTTCAAATCCAGCCTCAGGCATTTATTAGTTGTATGGCGTTGAGCAAGTCCCTTACCTTCGGTCTGCCTCAGCTTCCTCATCTAGAAAATGGGGATAATAATAGCATCTGCTTCCCAGAATTGTTGTGAAGATCAAATAAGATATTTGCAAAATATATTACAAATCTTAAAGTACTATATAGATATTATTATTATTGTTGAATAGTGTTTTATCGTCAAATAAAAGGCGCCTCTTTATTTGACTGTGTTTTCATAATATTTATGAATATTTGTGATTTCATCCTAGCATAAAAAAATGTGAGAGGCAGATAGAATTAAACTCCTGGAGCTCCAGTTATCTCATCTATCACTATAGAATAACCATAATAAGAATAAGAACAACTCACATTTATAGAGCCCATTGAGGTATCTTAATAGTGCCAGCATTAGAGTTGGACTGACTTGAATTTGACTCCCGCCTTAGACACTTACTATGTGACACTAGACAAATCACTTAACTTCTGACTGCCTCATCTGTAAAATGGGGATAGTAATAGCACCTACTTCCCAGGGCTGTTGTGAGAATCTAATTCAGTAGTATATGTAATGTGCCTTATAAATTTTAAGCACTATATATACTTTAGCCATTATTATTTTTACTTTTAGTTTTGCAAAGCATGGTCATTAGGACAACCCTGGTAATGATGTGAAATATTGCACGCGTTTTGGAGATAAAGAGATGGAGATTCTGAGAGTTCTGGATCTTACCCACTATCACTCAGACTCAGATCTGCCTCACAAGGGTACATGGCTCTATATTATTTGCCTCTCACAGTGGTTATGAAAATTGTGCTTTATAAATATGGTGTTACATAAATATTTTTATTGTTGTTAGAATAATTGTTTAAATGACTGTTGTCATTATTATTTACACTGAGAAATCTGAAGCCCAAAGGAGTGAGTGAGTGCCCTAAGGTCATTGCAGACCTGGGATTAGCTCCCAGGTCTTCGAAAACCAAGGTGACTATTCTTTCTTTAGATCATATCCTGTTTATCAATTTCATTTTATCTTGAGGCCATTTTAATTTTTTTCTTAGAAACCACATTATTCTGAGCAAGTCATTCAGGCTCTCAGTAACTTAATCGCTTCTTGTTAGAACGATTGATTTCAGTGCAACTAACGCAGGAAGTAGCATTGATGCGTTATTTAGAATTGTGCCCCCATCTCATTTTCAGGTGTGCCTTCCTTTTGCATAGTTAATTTTACCGTGAATGGGATCTCAGTAACTGCCAGGGCTCTTGGGAGCCCGTGTATGATATAGGGAGAGGAGCTCAGAAGTTGGAGTCAAGGATCTGAATCTGAGTCCTGATTCTACTGTACTCTCCCAATGACCTTGTACAAGTCAGTCACCTCTCTTGTCCAGTTGAACTTGATTGTCTCTAACATCAGTGAATCAATTGTTAATTGTATTCATGAAGAACCTACTATGGGCCAGGCATTCACTGGGCAAGACACAACAAATGAAGTAGCCCCTGCTTACCAGGGATGCATATTCTGCTGGGGTTAAAATAAGGTTATTGATGTAGATGTGTACATACATGTGGGTATTGTGTAGTGTGTGTGTGTGTGTGTGTGTGTGTGTGTGTGTGTGTGTATGTGTGTATCATTGGCTGATGGCCCTAAGGATCACATTTGCCATGGTGTCTGGTATGGTAGATGGAAAGCCACCCATTAGATGATTTGAGCTGAAATTCTGCCTTTGACATATACTGACTGTGGAATCCATGAGAATTATTTTACTCATTAGGTCATCAAGTAACTCAAGATGATAAGTTGCTAATTTGCAAAGTCCCCTCCCCTTTTAAAAAGTGACTTGCTATTCAGAACTATGAATTGAATAATTATGGATAAAGCTTTTTCTTTTGTATGTATTTCCATAAATAGAGACATGAACACACAACAGAATAGCTGATTAACACAGACTATTGCAAGGAGAAAAGAAATGTGCTAAAGAGAAAAACAAATATATAGAAAAGGAAATCATTTTCTCTTGTTTTTGTCAACACTTTTATTGTTTAGTTTAAACCAAGCCAAATAAAAGTCTCTCGAGTCGCACATATACAATTGAAGGGTTTTTTTGTTACATTTAATTTTTTTTTCA